TTCCTATTTAATAGGTAAATATAATCTCCCATCTCCATCTTACTGGTGGGGGTGTGGGGGAACAGGGCAACTGTGGCCTTGTTACATCACCAGCCAGGAGCAACAGTCCAAAGGTGGCCAACACGTTGAATTTATTGCATCACTGTAAACAGAAAACCTTTTCTCTTCCTGATCAGACATTCAAAAGGTTATAAAATATAACTTAATCCAGTTTGAAATTATAAGCCAATAGATTTTAAGTCTGAGCTTGGCAATTTTTTAGAACTCAGTTTGCTATAAGGCATTTCCATGCTGTAAATACATTCTACCTCAGAGAAGCTCATACTTGGGAACACTTGCCCGCCATCACACAGGGCAGGCTCAGAGCTCTGGCTGCTCAGTCCTATTTCCTGATGTTCAAAGCAGTCCAGCCACACACGGGCATCACTGAGGGGACACACACGTGTCACTCTAAGCCAGCCATAATTTCACAATTCCCCTGATCTGATCGACAAGATTCCATATATTCCCACACATTTAACAGTGAAAGCATACCATTTAAAATTATCTCACAAAGGACTAAGTTACTGCCCATCCTTGCCCTTCTCATATTTAAAAATAACCAACACCCTATCCTATACATCCCATATATAGTTCTCAGAAGTAAAAAAATAAACATATTCTTAAATTGGGTTTCTACTATAACATCCACCTCTTTGGCAATGCAGATTCTATAGGATGAAGCTTAAAGTGCACCCTAGGTACATGTCTCTGTGGAGAAGGGGCATGTCCCATGGACTTCAAACTTCTATGGAGTATAAAGGGAGACTGACCCATGTATAAACTGTAACAGACAAATATTTCTCTCTGGGAACTGAGGACTTAATTTCTGAGCCAGTGGTCTCTTTTTTTATTTGATCCTAGCAACAGTATTGTAGGATCTTTGGTGACTAGTGGTAAGGACTGTACTGCCCATGAGCCACTCCACGGGAGAAAGCTGGGCGCTCCCTCTTGTGATCCCCTGCCTCTGAAACCTGCTGGAGGACCAGCCAGGAGTCAGTTCTGACCTGACAGTACCCAACCACAATATGACTAGAAAATCTATTGACTGAAGTTCAAGAGTCAATGTAATAAAAGGAAGACTAGGATCAAAATCAAGTGAGAGACAGGTGAAGGAATCCCATGTCTAGGACTATAATCAGCAGCCAGAGGAAGAGACAGAGGGAAAGGCCACTCCTGTCCTGATCAGCTGCAGGAGCCTTCACAGAGGGCCCTGTTCACCCCCAAGTCAGCGGTGCTCAGTCTCAGATGGTCTGCACCTGCAGATGCCACCAGTTCTAACTGAAACCACTCCAAGTCCGCTAACATGCTCTGTAAAGAAAGGGAAATACAGAATGGTTTTAGCAGGTGAGAACCTGATGCTACACTGATTGCAGCCGGGCTGTCCCTAAGCCCCTGTAGTTGTACGAGCAGCTTCTAAGAGCTAAGTGTGCTGAAGTATCAAACAACCCTAGGGTTTCACTCACAATGCTGTTTCTGAGGCACTTTTGTCAAGGTTAGAAGGGTAAGTTTGGCGAGGCTAAGTTTAACCTCCAATTGAAATTAATAGTTGAGTTTCTGTCATGTTACAAAAGGGCAAATCCCCTCAACAGATTTCTTCAAAATCAATTCTTTGAAACTTCCAGATCCTGAAAATCCACAGGAGCAAATGTGCAAATCACTGAAGAGGTATTCAAAAGTGCTTCCCAGTGACAAGACCCCTGGTCTGCAGAGTCTCTTACCCCACGTGGATAAGCGCTCAGTGAAAATCTAGTTTTGACTGTACCGTCTTACAGCCCTTGTCTGAGTAGATTTTCTCATCTTTGGGGAAAAACGTCATTTCCTCGGCCACTTTTGTGACAACATCTTCATCAACAGCGGAGCCTCGGGCCTTCATTTCTGCCCGCACACACATTTTCACATGCCTGTACTCCAAGGGCAAGAAGGGGACAAAATAGTCGATGAGGTTTCTGTCGATCAGTCCGCTGTGCCATAGGCCACCTGCAAACAAGACACAGCTGAGTTTCTTGCAACCTGGCCAAGGTCCCTGCTCTGACGGGCCACATCAGGGTCACAACACACTCTTCAGCTCTACCCCAGAGAAATTCTGTCAGCTGTGAAAAGCCTGATGTTCAAAGTAAGTTGGAAACCCTTTCAAACTGACTTATGTAACAGAATTAGAAAAAGTCCCTATTCTACGACAGCCATAGGGGACTTTGGTGGCGTTGTCCAGAGAACTATGCGGCTAATGCAAAGGCAGCTTCTCTCCAGTGGTTCAAATCTACCAGGGGCTTCGAGGGAGAAAGGAGAATCTCCCCCATGTAATTCATCGCCCCTCAAAACCCACTGGGGGCTCCGCTATAAGTCAATTCCAATCCACGGCAACAAGTGAATTTAGCAAAGCCAGAGGCAAGCAGGATTATGTGGCTTTGGGGAACACTCAGAGACAGAGTAGATGACACTGCTGGCAGAGTGAAGAGGCTTCTTGTTCTGGGCCGACTTACTGTGCTTGTTATTGAAGACTCCAACAGACAGCACAGGCTCCAGGTCTTTGAGCTGAATGTCTTCTCTCTTTTTCCCTGCCCTCCAAAAGTCAAGAGCCATCTTGGTTATGAGGTCCCCACCTGCGTTGCTGAGATGAACAAAGAAGCAAAGAATAAAACAGAATCATCTAAAACAAGGAATATTTAGTAGGTGCTATTTCTAAGGAATTGCACTCCCAGCTCAAAGACAAGTGGTTCGAATCCACAGCTGCTCCATGGGAGAGAGTTGGCCAACTTCCTCCTGTGCAATTTAATGCCTCTGAAAACACACTGGAGGGTTTGACTCAACAGTACTTAAAGGGCCTTAAAAGTTTTTTTCCTGGGGAGGGAGGAAGGAAGGAGAGCAGAAAATGTACAACAATGAATGAATAAACATCCAACTTTTTTTAAAAAGTTCATTAAATCACAATTAAAATAAAAATATGTTTTTAAAAAAAAGTTGTTTCCTCAACTTTCTGGTATAATATTAGGCTTTTTATACTCCTCAGAAATAACTAAGTATTTTAAGTACTGCATTTTATTAAGTATTTGTAGGGAGCTCCAGTGGGGTGCTCTGGTGACCTAGTGGAAAGAAGCTGCGCTGCAATTCCGAAGGCACACAGGTTGAGGCCACCAGCTGCTGCATGGGGAAAGGATGGGCAATCTCTTCTCGTGTGATTCCTGCCTCTGAAAACCTACTGGAGGGCCAACTATGGGTCGGTTCCCATATGGTACGCAATAACCACAACAAGAAGGAGCTCCAATGGCACAGTTCACAGGGATTTGTACTTCTAACCCAAAGGCCGTATCTCTCTGGCTGTCTGAATGGGCCACTGGCTCTGAGGGAGAAAGACAGACAATCTCCTCTGCAATTTACAGCATCCCAGAGACCGTGGAGGGTCAACTATGAGCCTGTTCCAACTTGATGGCAATGAGTTTTCAGAGTTCTTGTAAATGCAGTTATTGAATTTGCATGTGTTGCTTGTGCTGTCGACAACAGTGACCCTTTGAACAAACGACAGATCTGAACCCTGCCCTGTCCTGAGCCATCCCCATCATCTCTGCCACACTCGAGCCCATTGTTAAGGTTGCAGCATTAATCTGTCTCAGTGATCATTTATTTTTCTGCCCACACTCTGTGCCATGCAGATATTAGCATTCCAAAAGCAAAATAAGTGAGCAAGTCATTTTAGCCAGGCTGGCATTTTTTTTGGGTCTGTTAACAAAATGCGTATAGTTGCCAAGAGGCCTTCCAAGCATCAGAAGAATAAAGGACTAAGTACCAGACTCCCTCAGAACACCAAGCCACCACCTGCTGACCTGAGGAAGATGAATATGGCCTTCCGGTAGGACACTCCATCCACCTGCTCATAGTAGTCCAGAAACGGCTTGATCGCATCAATGACTCCGGGGTGCAATTTGTCCATCTCATCAAATATGAAAAGAGAACTTGCACACATGCTCACATTGCTCCGAATCCACTTCTGCAGCTGGTCCTAAACCAACAGTGAAAGCAATGGAAGCAGACGTTCAGGGAGGTGTCAGGGGAGCAGAGGCAAGTATGCTGCCCTCCACTCAACACCATGAAAACCCAGCAATCTTAGGGGTTAAAAACGGGACTTTGATCTTGACCTCCTGTTCACAAACACCTTTTCTAAATCCTTATCCATAAAAAGTGGAATCTGGCAGAGATAGGGCTAAAATGCAAGGAACAAGTTCCCTAATTCAAATGCAATGCTAAATGTCTCTCTAAAGGTACAAGATAAATGAACATTCATCATTCATCAAGAACAATCTCTAACAACCCTCTTAGGGTGGAGTGGAATTTCAAGGTAATCTTACAACATTCCTCTGTGGTTCAACTTTCAGCCAAACAATATACAAGTCTCTAAGGTGATCAGGGACAGCAGGGAGGCATGCTCCTAGGATGACCAACCACCAGAGGTCAAGAGGGAAGCACCTGCCTGAGGATAGACAGGGATGGGCAAGGAGGAGGAACCAAAAATGGCAGGGAAGAAGTGGAAAGTGTGTTACATTGTAATCAGTGTCACAAATTAAAACTTTTAAGAACTGTTGATTGGGGAACACAACTGCCCTGTAAACGTTCATCCAAATTACATCAGAAAGTTACATTTTCTTTTTTTAAACTACATACTGAGGAATAAACTTGATTAAGATCTGCACAATGCCCAAGACCAATGGCTTTCCTGGTGCTGAGAACAAAGCAGCTGACCCTCAAGGCATTTCATGAAAAGCACTTGGCCTGTGTTTTCTTCAAATACAGACACCTGAGACTGAGAGGCCCAACCCCCAGCGGTGATCTCACTCGACTCCATTCCTAGAGTTCTAGGTAAGAATAGGAAAAATAAGAAAATGACTCCTTTTTGGCACTTTTCCTGTCTTAATAGTATGCTTGGCAAATACTTTCACTTCCTTATATTCAGTTAAGTTTCTGTTTCTTATTTTAGTGCCAAACCAACAGTTGCCACTGAGTTGGAATCAAACTGTAGCTGACCCTCCAGAAGATTTTCAGGGGCAGAAATCACACACGAGACTGTCCACCCTTTCCCCACGCAGAAGCTGGTGGATTTGAACTGTGTGCCTTTAGGATTGCTGCACAGCTTTTTACCACTAGGCCACCAGAGCACAGCTCCCACAAGTAACAGGAGTATTAACATTTACAAGGATGACACTTAAATGCATTTAAAAGACATTAACCCTCCTAGAAAACATAATATGAATAAATGAGGAAGTATCTCAAAAAGGAAAAAGATCTCACAGTTCAGTTCTTTTGAAGAAATGCCAAGGAATTTAAAAATGAGAGAAACACTGAGATTAAAAGCCATTTAAAAAAAAACCCCAAAACACAGGCTCAATAAGACTCTTGGATGGTTACATACGATAGGAAGGGAGAGAGAAGGGATTTAAAATTAGTGAACAGACACTTATTAAGAGGAGGAAAGCAGACACAATATACAGTATCAGCATAATATAACTAAAGGGGAGAGAAAGGGGCTCAGGAGAATACAGTCAATGAAAGACAGGCAGGCAAGACAAACCAGATATGGCAGGTGAAAAGGACTCCACATAATAATACATAGAAGTGGCAGATAATCTATATTCACATTAGTACACGCTGTAAATACATCCATGCAACAAGAAGAGTCAGCAAACGGCAATGCTATGTTAGCTTCTTCAGCATAACTCTCAGAGAATGAGTTGCTAGTTCTGGAGCTTTGGGACCATAGTGTTAGGGGACATTAAGGTCAACTGGCATAACACAGTTTACAATTTTTCCAATTCTGTTCTGGTGACATCGACTGGGGTCTGCAAAGCTTGCAAGCAGCTAAGGTGCAACTACTGGACTCACCCTATAAGGAACAAAGAGACAAAAAGCATGACTGTACTCAGGCACATGGTTCGAATCTGCTAGATGCTCTGCTGGAGGGACAATCTCCTCCTGTACCAGTCACATTTGACGGTACACACACACACACACACACACACACACACACACACACACACAATTTTTTTAAAAACCCACCAAAAACCAAACAAATCTGTCCCAAGGAGAAACGGACCAGGAGAACCTCACTCTCCAGGACACTGAGACCAGAAGGACTAGACGGTGCCCAGCTACCACTGCTGACCAATCTAAAGGCATCACTAGAAGATCCTGTATGGAGAAGGGGCAAATGGAGACCAAAGATCAAAAGCATAAAAGAACCAGGCTTACTGAGACTGAGGGAGCCCTGAGACTGTGGCCTACAGTCACTCCACAAAGCTGGGACAGAGATTACCCCAGGGGTTGACCTTTCATCTGAACAGTAGACAGGCCTGTTAGGAGATGACCAGTAATAACACCAGAGAGCCACTCACTACTCAGAATAGCCAAATATCTAAGGTCAACAGAGCAGCATTTGACAAGGATAAAGCACAGAAGGCAGGAAGGGGAAAGCTAGAGGAATGAATGGAAATGTGAACTACAGGAAGCAGGGAAAGTATGATTCCATGGTGGGTATTGTAATTCATATTATAAAACAAAATGTGTGTGAATGTTTGAATAAAAAACCAGTTTACTTTGTAACCTTTCATTCCAACCACAATTTGGGGGGAAATCCAACTCTGCTGCCATTAAGCCAATCCTGAGGCACAGTGAGCCTATGTTCCTGAGAAGAAATGTTCCCGATGTTTCCCTGGCTTTAAGTCTACAGTAGCAGCTTGCCAGGCCTTTCTTCTAAGAGCTGCTGGGTGGTTCTGAGCCACCACCTTCAGGTTAGCAGCCAACAACAGCTCACCCTGATCCTCCAGTCTATTTTTAGCAGAGGCGAAGCTGAGACTGCACCATCGTAGGGCACTGATTGAAGCTATACACCAGCCACCTGTGGAAGGCCATGCTGCTTAACCCCAAGTGGTCTGATGCCAACACTGCTTGTGCTCACTCACTGCGGACTGTGGCTACCCTATGAACTGGGAGTCAGGAAGTTCAGGTTCAATTTGTGTTATGTCCCAAGGTCACAAAGACTGTTAAGAACAAATCACCTCCCCTTCCTTGGCTCTGCCTTTTGCTGGGGAAAAAAGTCACCCACCCCACTGTAGGGAGTTTTGGTGGTCTAGTGTTAAGGGGCTGCACTGCCAACCCCAGGGCACTCAGTTCGAATCTACCAGCAGCTCCTCAGGAGAAAGAGGGCAGTCTCTCCCTGTGCAATGAGTCAGTTCTGACACAATGGTACACAACACCACCCCACTGTATTATTTTGGATCAAGTGAGAAAATTTGCTGGTAAGCTTTGTAAATGGCACAGGGCTATATAAAGGGTTATATTAACCTAGTGAACCTGGAGACATTCATTGCAGGGCAAATGAGAGAAGCAGGGTGAGTGAAGGAACAGTCTGAGTGGCCTGTGGAGGAGCTAATAGTAGATTTCTTGCCTGGTACAGTTTTATCTTCTGTTCATGAGGGAAGTGCAGTGTTGATACAAACAGATGTACAAAGTTACTCTTCAGGCCTTTTGGGTAAAGGTTTTCAGCAACAATCTGGCTGACAAAATTCTTGCCTGTGCCAGCCCAGCCATGCAAAGAAAGCGTCAGTGGTTTCTTGGGATTTTTGTTGTTTCTGAAGCCAGTCAGTGCCTTGAGAATCACCTCCGTGGCCAGATGCTGCCCAAACAACTTCTCCTCCAAGTCTAGCTTGAGAGCTGCAGATCCAGCCCCAGAACAGAGAGGGGGGAGAAAAGAAAACATTACAAATGGCACCAGAAAAGTAGCACTTTCCCCACTAGACAAAAGTGAGACATCCAATAAATTATGCTAAACCCCAAGGCCAGTGCTGGATTCATGAATCAAAAGATGACACTTCCATGCAAATACACCATGTGGATGTTTTCCTTAACACTTCTTAAGTATTCTAATGAGGGAGGAAGCTAAAAGTGTTCGTTCATTCAAGAAGTAACTCTCTTGCTAGAGGCAGCCCTGCAGCCTCGTAAGAAAAACAAAGGCCAAATGTGGGCTTTCTGGGTGCATGCTGCTGCTCTTAATACTACGAAGTAGGGCTGACGTGGTGCAAAACTCCACTTTCAGTTTCTCCTTCCTGTAATTCCAAGGAATCTAAACATTTAAAAAGGCAGAGCGTCGCGATTTGGAGAAGCTGTTTCGGAAAGAACACTTGCAGATGCCGAAGTCGGGCTGAATTCCCGCCCTCCGGAGCTCGTCCCGGGGTGCGATTCATAGGCTACCACTTGTCCTCCTTCCCTCCCACTCAAATCGGGTGATCGCCGCGTACGGAGCGCTCCATCCGGTGCGTGGCGCCTGCTTTGCACGCCGGGAAGCGCGCGCCCTCCGCGTCCCGGTACCGGGCTTCAACCCGCGCGCCTCCCCGCTGTACCCGAGGCGTTGAGCGGCTGCTCCCCGCGACAGCACTTGGAGAAGAGGCAGTAGATGTCCTTGTAGGAGAAGTAGCCAATGAGAGCAGATGAGGCCCTATGGCGAGGCACGCACTAATGGGCTGGAAAGCTGAGAACCCCTGGGCGGCCAGGAACAGGAGCAGCACCATGGCGCCCCCCCCCAGCCGCCCCGCCAGCCACATAGCTCCGCTCGCAGCCCGTCAGTCACAGCGGCATTGGGCGCCCTGGGGCGGGGCCGAGCGCCGGACCGGATTTCCTGTACGCTGGCGTCACTTCCGGATCACGGTTTGGCGCCGGAGAACCAAACTACTAGAGGACGTGGAGGCGTGGCTGTGAGTTCACCTAGAATGAGAGTGGCACTTGTCCTCTGTGAGTCGCCTAAGACTCATTGCGATCCTGTCAATAACAGAACCTGGTCCTATCCTGCGCCAGCCTCACAATCTCTGACATGCTCAAGCCTTTCTGAATTCATCCTGAATACAAGCCTTCTTGGTCTGAACTGTTTTAAGAGAAAATAACCTTGCTAAGAAAGAAAGGGAATAAATATGAATCGCTCCCAGGAAGTTGGCCAGGTAATTGCCCTCCAGATTTCCTAGCACAGCTTAGTGCTAATACGTCCAGGGTCGCGTCTATTCATTGAAATATGTCAATTCGTATTCCATCAATTCCTGCGGCCTTGTATTTTGCCGACTCCTTCAGAACAGCTTGAATGTCCTTCCTCCTTCATCACCATTGCTTTTGATCATATGTTGTTTGATGAAATTCTTAAGTGTCAGTTATTTTTGGCACAGTATTCTGCACCTAGAATCCCTAAGTATTGCAACTTGATCCTCAGTTCCTTCAGCTTAAAAAATGCCAAGCGAATTCGTCCCTTTTGATTTTTCAATCCCAGATATTTGTTGAACTAATACCACACACATTTGTGTCAGCTGCGTGACTGGAGTTCCTGGTTCCTGAAGCTGAAATTGGACTTCCAGAAGTTTTCTTCGTGCGGAGTATAAAGTGCGGTCCTATTTTGTCTACACCATGTCTTCTCATAAGACTTTCAGGATCAAGAGGTTCCTGGCAAAGAAACAAAAGCAGAACCGTCCGATTCCTCAGTGGATTCGAATGAAAACTGGCAATAAAATCAGATACAACTCCAAGAGGAGACATTGGAGAAGAACCAAGCTCGGTCTCTAAGAAGCCGCGCACACGTGATGCGGCAGCCATAATCAACCTAGGTCCACAAGCATCGCACCACGTCAAGCGACATGCTACGTGTCAAGTTTAACATTATGTCAATCTGATCACTTTCCCTGGAATGCATGTTTTTATGTCCCCATATTTTCAATAAATATATGAAGCCTGAAAAAAAAATACCACACACAGGCAAAATCCAGCTAAGAGTCATAGGCGACTTGATGGCCCCTAACAAGTGTTTGATAGAAAAGAGTTGAGAGAAATGCACTGGTTGCAAGTAGCAAACAGGCCTTTATTAGTATCCCTGAGAGGGACACCAAGTGACTGTGTGCAGAGAAGGTCAAAATGGCGTGCAGGCAGAAAAAGACAGTTTCCTTTTATAGGGACTGTTGAGGAGATTTATAGAAGATGGTAGTTTGCTTTGGAATTTGGGGGCAGGGCTCCTATCATTGAGTGATCAGGTCCAGAGCCTTATCAGGAGAGAGACATTATCAGATTTCTTCAAGGAATGGCTAGGCCTGGGGCGACATTCTTCCTCCAATAATAACAATAAAAAAGAGAAAGTCTGGTGGCCTGAATGTAAGAAGTGTTACTGGCCCAGAGGCATGTGGTTCTAATCTGTCATCCACTGGAGCAAAATGAGCAGTCTTCTGTGAATTATTGCCTATGATAACCTGCTGGAGGGTCAGCTATGAATCTGTTCCAACAACACATAACAACATAGAAGAAAGAGCATTGAAATGAGATTCAACAGATGTTAATATTATTTTAATAAGCCTATTGTTGCAGTTTGGAGGAACATTCTTCTTAGTGATACAGCACTCCTGTCAATACGCTGTACTCAGGTAACCTGGGATTGCTATGTTGCTGAATCTGTGCCATTGGGGTGTCAGATGCCATAACGGTTACCCATAGTGGACAGTATTTGGTCAAGCCCCCAGTTTAAGACATGTTTGGAAGCAAGAGTGGCATCCACTTCCTGAACAACATGCCTCTGGAAACTATGATCTTTGATAAGTGTCAATAGTTATAGAAAGGTTTCAGACCTTTTGTTCATAGGGTCGCTATGAGTCCTGATTGACTCAATGGCAATCAACAACAACAATTGTTGCAGATGTGTACTGTTGAGTTGAAACCAGCCCAGAGCTGATTCTCTGGTGGGTTTTCAGAGGCAAGGGAGATTGCCCATCCTTCTCCCATGGAGCAGCTGGTTGATTTGAACAGCATGCCTTTGGGATTGCAGCACAGCTTCTTGCCACTAGCCCACCATAGTTCCCTAGGGGATGTTAATACTATTTTATAAGCCTAGAAAATGTAAATACTAATTTAGAGAAAATAAGCAAGAAATTTGTTTTTCTTCAGATGTGTGGCCCGGTAGTCAAAACAATACACTTGAGAATTCAATCTACTGACATAGTAGTAAAAATTGTCAGTATAGTATCATTTTCTAGTTTTTAAAAAAGCTGTTTTGAAATAAAATTTATAAAACTTTGAAGGAGAATAGTAAAATCTTTCATGCAGAAGATTTCAGAATAATTCACAATTTCAGTTTGCTCAGATCCACAGTCAATATGCTTGTCATCAGCAGTCAGAAAATCAAAAGACAAGTTGTTGTCAGGAACCACTTCAGAGAGATGAAGAACAACGATGTCAGTCTAGAGACTAAGGTGTGCCTGATCCAGGCCATGTTCTTTGCAATTACTTGCTATACATCTGAGAGCTGGACAATGACTAAGAAAGGCAGAAGAAGAATCTATGCCATTAAGTTGTGGTGCTATAGAAGAGTTTTGAACTGGACTGCCAAGACAACAAACAGATATGTGCTGGAGAGCATGAAACCATGTTGCTCCTTAGAGGCATGGACTTTGAAACTCCATCTTACATACTTTGAGCATGTTGCCATTACGAACCATTCTTTGGAGAAGGGCATCATGCATAGAAGGGTCGGGCATGAAGGGAAGACCCTGGATGAGATGGATTGACACAGTGGTGTAATTAATGGAAGCAGTTGTGTCAGAGTCAGTGAGATTGGCTCAGGATAGAGCAGGGTTCTGAGCTTTGTGTTTGGCTCAGGATAAGGCAGGGTTCTGAGCTATTGTGCATAGGGAAGGTTCCGATGAGTTGCAGGTGACTGGGCAGCACATAACAACAACAGCATGACCTTCAAGGAGGTAGAATATAACTTCCTGTTCCTTAAGTGTGAGCTGGGTATGTGACTTTCTTCCAAAGAGCACTGTATGGGACACAAGAAAAGAAGAGTAACTTAGTGGTGGAGATGCCTGACAAACACACATCAGGGCCAACATCAACCATCATTATAAGTCATGTTGATAGTAAGTACTTTTGGTATGATGTTATGAGAAGAACATGTCTGTGGTCTTTCCTCTAAAAACTCATCACCCTTGTCTAACCATGAGGAAAATATTGGATACATCCCAATTGAGGACAGTCTACAAAACATCTGGCCAGTACTCCACAATACTGTCAAGGTGGTAAAATATGAGGAGAGTCTGAAGCACTCCCAGCCCAGAGAAGCCTCTTCATGATGACTGAATGCAATCTGGGACCCTTGAGGAGATTCTGGAACAAAAAAGGACACTGGGTACAAACCAAAGGATTGGGAGGCATCTCTGCACTTTGGCTAATGATAGTGGATTGATGTCGGTTAACTAAATTGTCCAAAATGTAATAATAATGTAAGATGTTATTTTGTTAAGAGACTTATAACAACCCTTTGAACAATAGACCTGAACCTTGCCCCATCCTGTGCCACCTTCATCATCTCTGACACACTCTAACCCACTGTTATGGTCATTGTGTCAATTCATCTCATTTGGGGGTCTTCCCTTCCTTCTCTGACCCCTCTGCCTTTCCAAGCATGATATCCTTTTCTGAGGTCTGGTCCTTTCTAACAACATGTCCAAAGAATGTGAGGTGAAGTTTCACTATCCTTGTCTCCAAGGAGCACTCTGGCTGCATATTTTCTGAGACAAATGTGTTTGTCCTAATTAATAATAGGGATTAGTAAGTGAGTGTGGGATATGCAGAAACTATGATCTGTGTCTGACTCAGAATGGCCAGTACCAGTCCAACTCAGATCACTGATGCTGAAAGGAAAAATTTTTAAACAATGTCCCCACACCCAGGTATTGTAAGAACCTATACCTTTGATCTTGTGTGAATGTTTATGTTCCAGGAACTAGCTGACCACAAACTGAACAAACAATTACTGGCAAAAACCATATTTTAACTAACGTCAGCAGCAGGTAACTGGCCTAAAATGGAACTTCTCCTTTTCCAAAGAGCCAATGAGCTAATTCCACGCCAAAGAACCCCTAGACCTTGTATAAATTCCCTTGCTTTTTTGGGCTCAGGGTTGACTTCCCTGTCTCCTGCATGAGATACAAGTCGTCCTGAAGCTTCGTCAATAAAGCCTCTTGTGATTGCAGCGAGTGGATCTGGTGTGAGTTGCTCGGGGTTGCGCCCGGTCTGGGAAAAGCCCTAGTTTGGGGTCTTTCATTTGGGGGCTCTCTCATCCGGGATCGAGCAGCCACCCCCACAAACCGCCAGTCAGCCACTTGGAGGTAAGAGGATCCTCTAAAATGTCTTTGTGCGGCACCGCCAAACCTGTGTGTTCGTAAGTCTGTTTTATTTTCAGCTTACTTTCAGTTTGTGGCTGTCGTGCACCCATCAGGGCTGGGCGACTGTGGCAAAGCAGACGTGCTTGAAAACCACGAGTCACAGCCCTAGGGAGACGTCTCTTTGGGTGGAATACAGATCCAGAGGCTTTGATAGTCTCTGGTCCGTCTGAGGGACTTAGAGTGTCCCGCAGGAGAGGAGGGGCCTGGAGGGCTCTCCCGTCTGAAGCAGCTTTCAA